TTTTTTTTTTTTTTTTTTTTTTTTTTTTTTAATTTAATTGAAATTGAATTAAATGATTTTATGGAAAATAAAAATGGGGAAAAAACTGTGGACCGTTGGATGCTGGTGAGATGGGGTTGGGTGGCGACAGTTTAGAAGAATTTGTGGTGATAAAACGAGGTAGACCCAACCCATGCTCCTTACTTTCCACGAAACTTTTGCTTCCCTCACCTCGTCATTCCCCACTCTCACCCCTACGCGCGTGTCCCTTACCTTCCATTAAAATTAAAGTTTATCTTTTTTTCTTTTGAATTTTTTTTTTTTTTTTTTCATTTTCCACTGCTGAACTCGCTCGATCGGCTTCATGAAGAAATCCACCTTAGAATGTGAGGAAGAAGGTTGATTCAGTCTGGTCCAATTTTATTGATTCGGTCTATTTTTCTTTGATTTTTAAGCCTGTGTGGATTGTTAGAGGGTCAGCACTAGGAAGTTGGCACGAATGGAGTCGCTCCTCGTATGGTTATGAATATGGTACTGTATGATGATTAGTATATATCATATATTGCATGTACATTATGTGATCTACTAGAATCATGCCCTATATGTGTATGAACTCACATGATGGGATCAAGCCACTTTTGCATGCATATGATATAATGTACGGGATCTTGCCCTACATGGTATGAACCCATGATGAGTCGCTCCCTGCATGTATATCATTATGAATCCATGGGGTCACTTCCTACATGATATAATGTACAAAGGTTGTGCCTACATGACATGAACCATGATTGGGTCACTTTCTACATCATGATATGATCTACAAGGTGGTGCCTTACTCTCTGTATGTATATGATATGATCTACCCAACATAATAGAAATTACATATGATAGGACCATTATCCGATGATTAAAACTATAAACGTATAAGATTCAAAGTTGGATTAGTTTCGAGATTGAGACAATTATGTACTGTGACCCAAAATTAAGATCATCGAACCGTTTGAGTTGAATTAAATAAATTTTTTCTCGCTATTTAGCCAAAATTGATGGGTGGCAAATGTTTTAATAAAAAAATATAAAAATATTTGTTAAATGGGCATGAAATAATAATTGAGTGGAACTTTATGGATTAAAAAATGAAATATTTTTAATTATAATAATATTATATAGGTCATCCTTGGTAGTGGGGTGTTTTGGTTAAATAAGCCAATTTGATGCCATTTGTTGGTTAAGATATAATTATTTTTGTATTTTTCAGTCCTAATATATTAATATATTTCTATTTTACTGCATTTGCTGTTCGCCATTATGTATTTATTTATTTTTTTAATTTAATTTCAGATACTTTTATAATTATGCACTGTTTTAAACAAACCAAACAATTTTTTAATTAAAAAAAATCATATATATTTGCTTACAATTTCCTTTAAAAATGGATTTTTCCCCCCAAAATATTAAAAGGAAAATGCAAAAAAAAAAAAAAAGAAGAGAGAGAGAGAGAGAGGGAATGGGAAGGAGTTTGAGAGTGACGCGCCAAGAGAAGAAGCGTGGAGGTTGAGCGAAAGAGGCAAAATCGGGGAGTGATAATCTGACAAGCGAATTTATAAAAATTAAATAAAAATTAAAATGAAGGGACAAAAAAGCCCATAGAATTGAATCAGTGGAAATGTAGTTTCACACGTGTACAAAGGGGAGAGAAACATTCAGCAGTACTCTGTCACAGCCACGTCAGATTAAAAAAATTCCCGAGTTTTTCATTCAACTTGTATTTTCTTCTTACCGGCACCTGTCGGTTACCGCGTTTCTATTCTTCCCCCACTACCCTGGCCAACCCCTATCCACACAACCTTTTTTTTTTCTTTTTTTTTCTATTAAATTTTAAATGTTTACACGTCTCTTCAACATTAATTAATCTCTTAAATACTCAAAAAAAAAAAAAATTAAATTAAATTAAATTAGGTATAATAAACTTTCAATTTTGTATTTTTTATCTTTATTTAAATATAAAACACATCAACAAAATATTAGTAAGAACGAAATAATCGAAAACCCTTATAAAGAATGTTCTATTTTACTCTCTAATCGAGACGAGGTCTCACAAATCTGTATCTAAGCATGCTCATTATTATCCCTATAAATCCTTACCGATAGGCAATCATCTAATAATCTCCACTTTATATACTCATAAAGAGAGTGATTCTGTGCTTGACTAATGACTGTGACACCATACGAACATGGGTTTATGTTTATATTGAAAATTGAAAGAAAAAAAACATAAATTCGAAAATAAAATAAAAAGAAATGGTTGTGGTTAATATTTTAATTTATTGACCAAATACAAAGATATTTTATTAAAAGAAAAAAAAAAGATTCTTTTGAAAAGGATATTTTGAGGGGTTTGGGTCCAAGTACAAGCTCCACCCACGTGCATTTAATTTTCATAATTATAAACTTTATTATCAGTTTTAGATATTTAATTAATTCCATTTATTACAACAGCAGGCCCGTTTTCTATTCAACTCAATTTAATTTCATTAATAATACTCTTCTCATTTCAATTACTTAAAATATAATATTATTTTTTTAAAAAAACCTTAAAATCAACCCAAAAAATACTAAATAAACATTTAAATTAAAAACATTTCATTCTAGCTTAAATCTAAGAAAATAAATACGAATACCCATAGTCTCGAGTTGACTACTTGATTTAATTATTTAAAAAAATACTCAATAAGTGACGTCACTCTTAAATTTAAAAAATAAAAATTACAAAAAGGGTGACGTGTGGGGAAATCAAAGTGAGAAATTAGTTACCAATAAACTTTCTCTTCATTTTTTTCTTCAAAATATTGGGCAAATCTCAGACTGTTGACACGTGTCCTGCCTAACTCAAATTCCATCCAATCAAAAAATTTTCTTTTTTTTAATAATTCATTTATTGTCTTATTTTTCTGAAAGTAGAAAGAGGGAGATTCCTTCTCAAAGCCAAATTTGCCTATGAACTCCTTTCCTTCTAGACTAGCTTGGAAAAAAAAAGAAAGGATTTATTTCAAATTTATTCCAAATTTGGAATAAATTCATCTTTTTTAACATTAAAATTCTAAAGAAACATGATTTACCCTAATCATCTTCCCGGAAATCACTCTTTCTTAACGATGTTCGTCTTAACATTGAATAAACATATATTATATTTGGGCTAAAGTTCATAATAATCTATGTTTCTACTTTTTATATATATAGAGAAAATGGTTTAAACAAGTATTTTTAGTAGGGATGTTCTTCGATGAGTTGGCTTGGATCAGATTGTGAAATTTTTAGCCATAATTCAATTGTTCGAGTCGTAAACTTTTCTACTCAAAATGATATTAGAGCCAGACATCAAACGACGTGTTAGTCTTCTCGCTGTTCTTGAAGAGGGTAGACACAAGACAGTGTGCTAGTAAGAATGTTGGCCTCAAAGGGTGGTGGATTTGGTGGCAGTCCCACATCGATTAGAGAAAAAAACGAGTGTCAGCAAGGATGCTGGGCTCTGAAAGGGGGTGCATTGTGATGTCCCACATTGGTTGGGAAGGAGAACAAACTGACCCTTATAAGAGTGTGGAAACCTTCCCCTAACAGACGCGTTTTAAAGTCTCGAGTAAAGCGTGAAAAAGAAAGCCCAAAGAATACAATATTAAGCTGTGGATATGGGATTTTACAAAAAAAAAAAAAAAGACCAACTCACTTTTTAAGAGAACCTATGAATCAACTCAAATAAATTCATAATTCAACCCAAACTGGTTTGAGTTTGGTTGATCTAATTTTTCGAGTCATCGAATTTTTAAATACCCATATTTTTTATCTCCACTAATTATAGAGCGATAATGAGTACTTATCAATTGAGTTATGCTCATATCAGATAGATACATTGTAAGAACGAAATAATTGAAGAATAAGCTAAATACGACTTGCGTACCTTCCCTTTCGGGCTGCACAATTCTCATAGGTCACGTCGTGGTGCAACAATTTTCAATATTTGGTTAAGTCTCTTTGTTTATCTTTTTATTTTATTTATTTATTTATTTATTTCCTAAATTCTCTTTTCCTCAATAAAATAAAGTGAGAAAAAGACCATTCAAATATTGCAAAATTTTATATTATCCAATTGAGCCATTACCACGTGTCTTATTTATACTACAAGAGAGAATAAAACTTTTTACAGGGCCAAAATCGTCATTTTGTACTATTTTATTTGGTACCAACCTTTCAGGAGTCGGTGAGGGACCGCCAGCCATGCTGTAATTAATTGACAAAGAAAAATCTGGAAAATCAAACCAAATCAAATTAAAATATTAATTTTCATTTTTTATTAATTTAATTCATTACTATAAAAGCTTTTTTAATAAAAAAAACCCAATTCATACCGTTTAGATTGGGTTTGGTTTAGATAATGAGAAACGGTTATAATATAATTTAAAAAATATTTTTACTTATAATAAAATTTGAGAGAATAATAACATTATTTAATTAATATAAATTAAAACAGTTACATGAGTTAGTAGTTGATGGTTTATATTGATTTGATAGGATATTCTTTTTTATATTATATTTTTTATTTTTGAAACAATTTCGCATTAAAATAAAACAGGGAGGAAAGTTGAAGAATCTAAAACCATAAACTAAGAGTTATAAAGAAAAGAATAAAGACAAATAATAATAATAAATGGGGGTATTATAGTCTTTTGTCGGAAACATAATGCGGCGCTTTGACTTGTTTGGGTGACTGGCTACTTGGAAATGATCGGTCACGAGAAGCATT